GAGGAAGAACTTCTTCCCTCTGAGGGTGACGGAGCCCTGGCCCAGGCTGCCCAGGGAGGCTGTGGAGTCTCCTTCTCTGGAGATATCCCACCCCCGCCTGGCCAAGGTCGTGTGCAGCCTGCTCTGGGTGACCCTGCTTCGGCAGGGGGGTTGGACTAGATGACCCACAGAGGTCCCTTCCAACCCCTACTATTCTGTGATTCTGTGATTCTGTGTTTCCATGACGCTCAGTAGCACTCTTCAGAGTTAACAGTGGTGAGACATAGTCATTGCTGTCTCGTGTACGAACACGCATCACCTGCGTCCCACATTTGATGCCAGTTGGCACAAGCTGTTCATGCAGTGGAGTGTGGTGTTTATTGTTTCCAGCAAGCCTCTGACTAAAACACATTTTATTAAGACTTCTGATGTAAATATGTCTATTACCGTAGCGTAACCGTAAGGAAATACCAGTGGAGCTGCTGGTTGAGGTCTTCAAAGAACGACCTTGGAAGCAATATCACTTTGAACGTGAGGCTACGTTGTGGTTGCTGGGGCTGCAAGTGAAATGCTGTCATTGCTCTTGAACGTTAAGCTGGGTGCTGACTCCAGAAAGCCGGCGGGCGCAGATGGGCACGAATCCTGCAATAAATACAGGGTTTGCATGAAAGGGTTTGTACGTCCCAAATAATTTGGCTTCCAATAATGGAAGCGAGAGCCAAAGACCCTTCTAATCTCGCTGTTACAGGTGTAACTTTCAGGCAACAGGGTCAACAGAAACGTGTTCAGTTCCTTGTCTGGGGGGCAAGAAAAGGACTTCCCTTGTGTGAAGGTTTTCCCAGATTTCTGTTGACCCTTGGTCACAAGTCCAACAAACCGGTTGGTGCTCTTGGAATTCCTGTCGACAGCTTTAAAGGTTAGCTTGTGCCCTGGCTTTAATTAAAACTACTGAAATACCTCTTTCTAGGCCTTATATTTTGTCCTTTCATATTACTGTAAAAGCGTATGGAATCCATCCACCAACTAAATAGTGTGTTGTCTGTAATTGAGACCAAAACTTAGCTTGATATTTTTTGTTTGGTTTTTTGTATTTTTTTAAATTTTTTGCCCCAGCCATGTGTGCGCGTGTTGTCACCAAACCTGCTGACACTGCTGTCGCCGGGAAGCGGTTAACCCGTACCTGTGACTGCTTTCTCTCCGAGCTGTTTGGGTGTCCCGTAAGTGAGGCGCGCGGAGCTCCTGTGACTCGCGACCGGACGGAAATGCTGTTACGCTGCCTAATGCGAGTTCATCCGGTTGATTTTTTTTTTAGTTTTTAGGTCTTTTGCTGGGGTTGATGTCAAATGGCATCCCGCAAATAAACGGCGTTTGTGTTGGTTTCAGCAGCTGACTTCAGGTTTTTCTGTGGTTCATGCTTCAGAAATTCAGAAACTTTTTTTTAGTTCCAAGTATGTGAAGCTAAAAAAAATTACTAGCTTCTGTCAGCATCTCTCTGTTCTTTCCTAGCTTTCTTATGGAATCACAGATCTGTAGGGGCTGGAAGGAACCTCTGGAGATCCCCCAGTCCAACCCCCTGCCCAAGCAGGGTCACCCAGAGCAGGCTGCACAGCACCGCGTC